TTCAGCAGTTCGCTATACTAATAAATATTTGAAAGCTAATGGCTACCACTTTGAGCACCTCTTGGGATGACTTTGGGAATACTCCTTCCCTTCCCTTTCAGTTTATTAAAGAGTTCATAGAATGTTAAAGTTATAGCATCTCTAAAGTTCTTGTAGAATTTGGCAGTAAATCTATCAGACCCCTTAGTTGGTAGGTTATTTTAAAAACTAATTCTTCAGCTTCATTGCCTTTCATAAGTATACTACATAAAAATCATCCATTTCTTCTGAATTCTCCATTTCATTAGAATATAGGTTCTCAAAATTGTTATTGATGGTCTTCTGAACTTCAGCATAGTCTGTTGTGATATCACCATTTTCATTTCTAATTGCATAGATTTGGGTTTTTTCTTTCTGTATTTTCATAAGATTAAAAGTTTGTCTATTTTGTTTATTCTTTTAAAGAATTGTTCTTCAGTTCACTGATTCTTTGTATTTTTTAGTCTCAATTCATTAATATCTGTGCTGATATATGTCATATCCTTCCATATACTACCTTTGGACTGGGATTGTTCTTGTTTTTCTAGGACCATAGAGGCATCATTAGGTCATTTATTTGGACACATCTATTCTGACATGGGCATTCACACTTACAAACTTTCCTTTTAGCCTGCTTTCATTGTGTCAAATAGATTCTGGCATTATTATTTGATTGTAAAAACTGCCCAGTTTCTCCCTTTATTTCTTTTGTGACTCATTGATTATTTCTGAGAGTGTTATTTTCCATTCATTTGCATAATTTCTGTGATTTCTTTTGTCTTTGATTCCTGTTTTCATAGCACTATGATCTGATAACCTGAATTGTATAATTTTCTATTCTTTCACTTTTCCAGGAGCTTGATTTGGCAAAAGTACTATGTATTACTGAGAAGAATGTGTGTGTTGTCATGGTGTGTAACACTGTCTGAATATCTACAAAGGCTCTTTATTTCAATAGTTCTTTTTTTCAACTCTAACATTTTTTGTTGAATTTTTGTCTAATTGATCTGTCTATTTATGACTGTGGAATATTAAAATCTTCTATTATAATTTTGTTGATGGCTATTTTTTTACGTCCAGTAGTGTTTACTTTATGCACAATGTTTGATGCATATATATTTGTTATTGTTACTTTCCTATTGATTTGTTCTATATTTATCATTTTTATCTTTTCCTATTGATTTGCTCCCTGGACCTACACATAGTGACCTAATTTTTTTTTTTTTTTTTTTTGTACTGGTGATCAAATTCATGACCTCGCGCTTGCCCGGCAGGTATTTATGCCACTAAGCTAAGTCCCTGGCCCCATAGTGACCTATTCTGATCTGTGTGACTTCAAATTCATTTTGTCTGAAATTAGGATGGCTTCTTTTGTGTTTTCCAGGTTCCCAATACATGGAACTTTTTTTTTTTTTTTTTTTTTTTTTTTTTTTTTTTTTTTTTATCGGTACCAGGGATCGAACTCACAACTGCCTGCTCGCAAGGCAGGCGCTTATGCCGCTGAGCTAAACCCCCAGCCCCGACATGGAACATTTTTTGAAGCCTTTGATTTTTAACCATGAGTCCCTTCTTGAATTAAATATGTTTCTTATACTACATATCATCAGAGTCTTTTCTTGATCCAGTCTGCTAATCTATGTCTTGTGATTAGGGAACAGATAATATTACAATGAGAATTATTACTGAAATGTGTTAAGTTTTGCCTGTGACTGCATTATTTTCCTGTTGCTGTATTCCTTTTTACCCTGAATTACTGCTTAACTGCTCACCCTGCCTAGTGCATTTGTTATATCAAATAGTTTGACATTACTATTTCCACTGTTTCTTTCTAGAATATCCTTGAGGATTTTTTGAAGTGCTGATGTGATGGTCAACAATTTTTGAGGAGCCCTTTCTCACTGAAATAACTTATTTCTCCATCCATTTTTATGAAAAGTTTTGCAGGATATATAAGTCTGGTTGGTAGTTACTATCTACTATACTTTGAAACAGTTGACTCCACACCCTTGTTCCTTTATGGTTTGTGTTGAGACTTCTGCTGATGTGTTGGCATACAAAGAAAAGTCATTAATAGCAAGAAGAAAAAGGAATATGGAGAATAAAAATTAAAAATTCAGCATAAAAAAATAAAAGGTACTGAGTGTGGTGGCACTTGCCTGTAACCCTAGCACTCAGGAGGCCAAGGCAGGAGAACTGCCCTGAGTTTGAGGCCAGCCTGGGCTACAAAGTATGTTAAAGGCCAGTCTGATCCACATAGAGAGGCCCTGCCTCAAAGACAGGAAAGAAAGAAAGGAAGAAAGAGAGAGAGAAAGAAAGAAAGACAGAGACAGAGACAGAGAGAGACACAGAGACAGAGACAGAGAGAGAGGCAGAGAGACACAGAGAGAGAGAGAGAAAGAGAGAGAGGGAGAGAGAGAGAACTAAAGAAAGAGGAAAGGGAAAACAGAAAGGAAAAAGATAAAAGGACAAATGAAAATTTCTGAATACTCTAAGCCAATGAAGAAGAGAGTGAAAAGGAGAAAAGAGAGATAAAAAGAAGTCCAAACACAGGAAAAAATGCATCTATATTTTTGGAGTCCTGCAGTTCACAGTTTTCTCACACGGCCTTACAGCCTGTGAGTTTGTGAGGTCCCCCCATTCCAGATGCCCCTATGTTTCCCCCACATTTTGATAATATCCAGGCTGAGGCCTGGCCCCGCTAGCACCTGTAGGTAAGACAAGCAGTCAGACCCCTTACCAGTGCCAGGTGCAGGCAGCAGGGCACGGGCTCAAGCACTCAATGCTGACACGCTCAGATCCAACACAACCCGAGCTGCATCTGGCCTCCCGCTGAAGGGGGAAACGTTTGTGTCCTTTCTGGGAGTCTGTTTTCCCTGTTTGTGTCTTTCTCCTATGGCTAACCGAGGCACAGCCACTACAGTGGTGGTGACCGTGCTAACTCTGGGACTCCCCTCCCCAAGTGAAGCATCCCCTAGCTGTTCTGAGACTCAGATTCAAACAATCCCTTCCATATTGGCTCCCAACCACGCAATTCCTGGCAGCATGGCAGGTGCTTGTGCTGGGACCCCTGTCTGACTGTTGCCTGCTGCATGGAAGGAGCCTTCTTGGAGCAAAACTTCACGCTGTCCCTGCAGATCACAGCAATCATGGGCTGCCCAGGAGCCCACTTTGCAGCCCAGTCAGCCAGCACTGTTTTCTCCAGGAGCTGTATATTCATGTTCTCTATCCTGAACTTCACTTCATACTCTACAAACATATTCTACAGATATATTCCTTCTTGATAGATCCAAAATTGAATACCATATCAGCTCTGTTTCTGTATTTCTGTTCTTAAACAATGGCCCCATCATTTACCCAAATCACACTGAAGTTCTCTCTGTGCCCATCTGCCAATACCAATAAATTTTGTTGGCCTGTTGAATTTTACCTCCCGTATAGATCACAGTCGGTTTCTTGTGGTGGTAGCTACTTAGCATCTCTTCCCTGAACTATCACACAGACCTTGCAAGTCTCTTTTTACCTGGAGGTCTTCCACTATTAAGATCCATCCTCTTTAATATGTACCAAGACCAACTGAAACAAATCCGCACACTTTCTCAGTATTTAAACAAACAATGAGGATTTTTCTTTCACAAGGCAAGGGAAATTACTGGTGATACGGCTTTTGATAACTCCAGTAGCCTCCCCCAGTCTCTAACTCCATGTTTGTACAATGAGTCATTGTAAAAATGATACGGGAAAATTTATGTGGCACGGTATATGCAAAGCATTTTGGATGATAGAATGGCTTGGGGCACCCTGAGTCTGCAGAGAACACCAGACACATGAAAACTCAGGGAAGCAGCTCCTTAAAATAATAAGAATGTTGAAAATAAGGATGTTGGTTTCTTTCTCCATACTGTGGAATATTGTAAAAGTTAAACGAAATAATAATGATAAAGTAACTAAAAATGTGATTGGCAAATAATAAACATAGATGAGCAAGAACAAACCCAAGCAAATACAATCAGGTCAAGAAATCTTTGGTTTGCATAGTTTCAATTACCTATGGTCAACTGTGGTCTGAAAACGTTAAGTGAAAAGTACTGCACCAAAAAAATAAATGATTCCTGAGTTTTAAATTGCATGCTATTCTGAGTAGCACAATGTAATCTCATAAAAACGTCCTGCTCCAACCGCATGGGATGTAAATCCTCACTTTATCCAGAATAACCACATTGAATATGTCATGCCCTCATTAATCACTTAGTAGCTGTCTTGCATAACAGATTGTCATTTCATTACAGTGCTTGTGTTCATTCACCTTTGTGTTATTTAGTAGTGGCCTTGTTACACGCTGCTGATTCAGATATGCCAGACTGAAGCCATGAAGTGCTTTCCTTAAATGGAAAAGTGAAGGCTCTCTACTTAATAGGAAAAGCTAAAAAAAAATTATGCTGAAGTTGCTAGAATCAAATAACAATAAGTTATTTTGAGAGAGAGCAAAAAACACACTCATATAAATTATAGTACACTGCTATAATGCTTCTGTTTTGTTATTAATTTTTGTTAATATCTTAAAGTGCCTACTTTATAAATTAAACTTTGTTGTAGATATATGTATAGGAAAATATTAAATGTACATATAGTTTGGTACTATCTGCAGTTGCAGGCATCTACTGGCCTTCTTAGGATGTACCCCCAATAGAGAAGAGGGGAATATTTTACCTATTTGCTGAAGTCTACTTTTTAAAATCTGTAACTACTCTACCCAAAAGTGTGCCATTGTTGGTGCTGATAGAGTTTTGTTATTCTACAGAAAAGTTAGCCGTGAGATAACAGGCTGACCCAGCATGTTTATTCTTCAGCTTCAACAGCAGTTCTGTTTCCCAGATGTTCAACATCTGTGTTTGACAGATGAAACTGTCAGCCTTCAGTTTTTAGCAGTCAGTTTGGCTTTCAGATTCCGAATCACAGTAGTTCTCTTTTCTTGCTGACTACAGGCTGGCATTGACCCCAGGCTCTCCTTTGAGATTCCGTGGAAGATCCTGATGGAAGAGAAAGATACTCAGAGAAAGGAGGTCATGGAGGATGGAGTTAGTGATGCCCAACATTTTGGTGAGAACCCTTTGGGTGGGTACTTTATTCCGGAGTTTCAGCACATATTTACAAGGAGCTATTCCACCATACATAGTGGGAGCGGATTGGCATGGTCCAGTATCACCCTAGCAGTCCACAAGCCTTGGGAAGGTAGACTGAGGCTGATACTCCCTGGCCCACGCTGTAGACATGTATTCATTTGCTGTTCTTCACCTCGCTGAAGACATGTTGCAGGTTTGTTTGAACCAGATGCTGAGTGCCAAACCAGCAGGTGGGAAAAAATCATTTCCAGTGATTCATCAGTCATTCAGAAATCAAGCCCAGACAAAAGGGGTGGGAGGGAACACACAGAAATGAAACCAACCTTTCATTAACACAGCAGTTGATCCCACTGTATGCTCCCAGGAGGGATGAGCTACTCCCAACCCAGTTATTCCCAATTCACAGGGTTATGCTGCTGGCTAAACTCTTGGCAAAATGTTTTCTTGGCATTCAAATAGAATGAATGGACTTCAGAAATATTTTTCCTCATTTTTTTGTTTTTTACATCAGATGACCAGGGGATTCATGGGTGTGCTGGGCACCTGGTTTTAGTCAAGCTCATTAATATTTTCCTGTAGTCCTTTTCCATTGCAGGTGAATTTTCAGTTAAACTAACTTCAATATTTTAATTTACTTTATGCTAAGTTCTAGACAAAAGGAATTAAAATAGAAACACCTGTTTTAGGGAAACAGAAATGCATGTATATGTACATTCCTGTGTATGCTGAGGGAGGTGGTTAGAGAGGTGTTAAAAGATTGTTTTACTCAGGGCTGGGGATTTAGCTCAGCGGCACAAGCACCTGCCTTGTAAGCAGGCAGTTGTGAGTTCAATCCCTGGTACTGGATTGCTTCACTCTATAGTGGGAGCTGCAGGTCTGAAATCTGTGGAAAGTGCATTTAGAGCAGACACATAACAAAAACAGAAAGATAATAAGGCAACAATATGAAATATTTTGGCACCTAACCAAATTTAGGCACGGAGTTGGGAAAAGATTTTGGAGAGGGTGGTTTCTGAATCAACCATCATTAGGTGAATTTGTGGTCATAAAGAAAAAATCATAAAGAAAAGTAACACATGTGAATAACTGCAAATAATTTATTTATTGTGTTTGGAACAGTCCGTCTTACTAGAAGAGGAGGAAGAAATGGGAAACTACTAAGAAAATAACCTAGAATAATCAGTTTGCTTATTTGTTTGTTTTCAACAGAGGATTCCTGGTTTGTTTTGTCTTAAAGGCTTTGAACACTCACTGAAGAATTGCAAACATAAAGTGATTAGATTTTCAGTATTTGAGACCAATTTATGTAATTATTCAACAAGCATTTTTATAGTGTGTCTCAAATATAATTTACTGCACCAAGAATAGAAAGGTGAATAAAAACCCTGACTTTTCAATGTTTAGAAATTCTTGAAGATATTAGGGAAAAAAATTAATAAAATATTTGAGTGTTGTAATTTGTGCTATTGAGGCCAGAAGCTTGATTTAGGATCTTATAATTCCAATATCTGGCCACACTTGCCTTCATGCCACCACTGCCACAAGCACTATCACCATTCCGCTCATCCCCACCACCCTGCCATCATATCAGACCATAAATAGAAGCTTTAAACACTCACCAACTGTCCCATACCCCATCCAATCTCTTGGCCAAATGCATAGGATCTTGGGTATGATTTTTCCAGAACTTTCCTCCAAAATGTGAGGTTTAGAGTCTGCTTTAGGCTCTTCCATCATCTTCCCTTTATGAGCCTTGCTTACTGTGACCAGGGCCCCTCCAGTCCCAAATCAAATGAGTCACCATCTCCAGACTCCAGGGCGTACTGTTGGTCATCTCTGGGAGTCGGAGTTGAAATTACCATGTGATCAATGAAGGCAAAGGATATGGGAAAGAGTATTGGTGATAGATATTTAAGAGGTAAAAATGAAGGCTGAGGATGTGACTCAGTGGAAAGTACTTGCCTAGCATGTATGAGGCTGTGGACTTGATCAGTACTGAAAAACAACTAGAAGGTAAAAATGATGTGATTTAGGAAAGGATTGTTAGTAGAAGTTGAAGAACAATGAGGAACTAAAGACATTTTTTAGACTGTGAAGTTGTGTAATGATATAAGAGAGCGAACTTTAATTAACAATGGGATGTAACAAAAAGAGAGAGCTCAGGGGTGTATACGGGAGAAGGCGTCAATGGTTTGGATGGACATGGTGGTCCCACCATGCCAAAGGTCATCCGTGTGAAGGTGTGCAGTGCGTGATCCCTACCCTTCTCCCTGTGCATTTTCACTCTTTCTTCTTGTACTGAGAACTGTGACATTGGAATAAAAAACAAGAGCCCCATATTTCCAAAAGGACCGAGACATTCAACCACTTACAGAGTCGCTGAGAATTTAAACTACTAGCATCCTGAAAACTAAAGCTTTCTTTTGTGAACTGATACCAATGAACTGTTCGTCTAGGGTAATGTTACCCTTCACCAATACAGATTCTCCAAAATTGCCCACTCAAAATTCTCCACCTGGATAATCAATCACTTTTATAATTTACGGATGTGAGACAGAACCAACCTTTGCAACACACAAGTAATAAACCACATCAGAGTTTGTGTGGATTACATTGCTCACTAGTGCTTAGCAGACTCGTTAGTACAAAACTTGTGAGTGATTTCCTTCTACCAGTATGCCAGATAGTTATATTGTGGAGGGGTTTCTCAGACCTTATTTGAACTTTTTTAAGGGGAAAGAGAAAGAGCCCTAGAAACCTCTTCCAGGATTCCTGGTGCAGGAGAGGGGAAATGCACACCTTTAAGATATTTATTAAAGCATCTTAAGAGCATATTTATTCAAATATGCTCTTTGATACATATGACTCACCTCTTGTGTATTATTGGGTTAAAGTTTTTATAAGGCCAACTGTAATAGTAACATTAAAAGTATCTGTACACCTATATTGTTTCTGGAGATTCTTATGTCAATCTTATAAATATAATACCAATCAATAAAAAGGGAATGGTGTGTGTGTGTGTGTGTGTGTGTGTGTGTGTGTGTGTGCGTGCATGCACATACATAATGTGGGTTATTGAAGATTGAATCTGGGGAGTATAATCTTTTTTATTTTTGAAACAGGGACTCACTAAATATTATCCACATTGACCTCAAATTTGCTGTCCTCCTGCCTCTGTGTCCCAAGTATCTGGAATTTCTGATGTGTGCCTCTATGCCCACTCAAAATAACATTTTAAATGTGTTTTTTCATTACCACCTGAACACAACAAATGGATTTCAATCATCTTTGTTAGGTATATGTGACACTTACAAAAACTCCTGGTTCCTGAAGAAGGCTAGAACTTCAAATGAGTCAAAAAAGAACTATACAAGCCACAAACAACATTACCTGTTTCAGAAATAAATTCTTCAAACAACCATTTAGAAATCTGGGGGCACAAATAGTAAGTCTCTAGTCAGAATTAGGGGCCATATGGTGATAGTTTTATTAGCCATATTTACAATTCTCTTGAGACAAACAATGAAGTTATCCCCATAGAATGGAACATTTAAAAAGGTCAAGAACGTGCGGCTGAGCATCTGGGGATACAGTTGATTAATTGGAATACTGTCACTAAATTTTCTGTCCAAGACTTTGCCTGTCAGCCAAAAAGTGCCTGCTTCATTCTTTTTTCTGTGAAAATTATAGGCTCTGTGACCATGGAGTCACCATAACATGGGAAAAAAGATGGCAGTCAGGCGTGTGCAGGTCCAGTGTCTCATTCGGTTCTAATGAATACTTTGTTGAGTGGCCTTGACTTGGATGCGTACCTGTTTACTGTAGGGAACAGCATCAGGATAGTTTTATTGGAGTCTGAATTTTGTAGCTAGAGCTCATTTCTGGCTTTCATCTTAGCTCTCTGTAATCAGGTTCTGCTTCCTTCACGGCCTCTAGGTCTTCCTGTGTTTATCAGGCAAGGAAGAGCCAGTGCAAGTTTAGAGCAAGGAAGTGACACAATTAAAATGGTATTAGACATGAAATCTGAAGTTCAAATTCCTGTCTCTCCTCTCCATAACTCTGGCCCCAGTCTTCAGGGTCTTATCTCCTGCTCCTCCCGCCCGTGTTCCGTGTGCTAGACAGACTGTATTAGTCACTGTTTCTCTATCCTTCTTGGCTGTGCTTTCTCCTGCATTGCTCAGGACATTTCTCTGCCCTTCCCTTTCAACAGGAAGATCACACCTACTGGGTTCTCTGATAGATTCATTAGGCACAGATGCCCTATTCTCTGAACATTTTAGTGTCTTTCTTTTTCTGTAGTACATTTTATACCATACTATCATCTTATGGTTACATTAGGCATTAAGCTCCATATAGAGACACATCATAAAATATTTCTGTCCCATCGTCTGTGTACCTGGGAACACTGTATGGAAGGGGTAAGCTCTTAGTAAATTTGTCTTTGTTTGAAGATTTCTCATCTTTTGGATTCTGGCAGTGCTCTGAGTCATCAGAAGTCTCCTGTGCAATGAGGTGGGCATATAACTCACACATCAGATTTGAGCATCTGTTCCTTCCCTAGTCCTGTGGCTCAACACATACACACGCACACACACAAAGGATGAATTTGAAATCAAAGTTTAAGTGAAACAATCTGAAAGTCCAATAAAGGAAAAATTAAGACCAACAAAGAAAAGCTGACTTTCCTTTAATATTTTTTTTTTTGGCCTTTTTCCTTTTAATCAGTACCAGGGATTGAACTCACGACTGCCTGCTTACAAGGCAGGCGCTTATGCTGCTGAGCTAAATCTCCAGCCCCCTTTCCTTCAATATTGAGAAGCACTGGATAAAGTGCTAGAGTTTTTTGTTTGTTTGGTCTGTGTTGAGCAACAAACATACAAAGAAAACATTTTGTTTTAAGCCCACTATCCAGGAAAAGTAAACCAATTCATAATTGTCAAGTGTTAGCAAAGTCAATTAGATAAACACAGAAGGAAC